TGTTTTATGTTTTTACTCCAACCATGCTCTTTATTTTAGCTATTTATCCAAATATTATTAATTTTATAGAATGCCACGTCAACAACAAAGGTGGAGGGAAATGATCCTAATGATTGAATACATTTTGCCTAGCGTTGAAGGCTAGCTACATGTAGCTAGTGAATATGAGTTGAGCCAAAATGCCTAATCATATGCCTAGTGCATTGGAATTGAAAAAAGTGAATCACACTAGGCATTTTAACTAATAAGTATTATATGCCTAGTGCATTGGAGATGCTCTAACAGTCTAAACATAACACCCCACAGTTCCAAGACCCATAAAACAAAAAAATTGAAATCTCAGTGCATTCATTCATATATATATATATATATATATTAGATGGGTCTGTTAAAAAGAATAGATCTATTTGTGTACCTTTGGGATGGTCAAATAGAGGATAAGATAGAAGCAGATCGTGTTCGCTCTGCAAAACCTCAGGAGTCGCCATGATTGATTCTCGAGAAATTTGAACAGAGATCGATCTCGTCTTTGTCCGGTGCGGTGGTTTTGGGTCTCTCTTGGTCTTCTTGTTCTGGTGTCTGTTTGACGGAGGAGGAGGATAACTTGTTAAGGGATCTTTAGTAAATAAATACGGAGACACCAAACAGAGCCTTAGAATTACACACAAGGAATATGCTAATATGTGATGCCCATTTGTGTGAAATTTATCAAATTAAGGATAGTTTTCGCCAGCAGCAGGTTGGACAAAATAGATGAAACCTTATCCGTTGGATTGAGTAATGTTAGAGGTTTTAAAAATTTTATCAAAATTTTTGTTAAATGTCTTATATAGGTGTGGGTCTTACGTGAAGCCTTGTTTGAGAACAGACTAATTTAATAATTTTTTGACTATTTAACTAAAATATGAGCTAAAAAAAATTAATATGTTTTGGATGACTTTTTGACTTTTTACGAAAAGATGTGCAAAAAGTAGAGAGAAAAGAGAATCTTTGACTTTTTTGTATGAGTTGTTGACTTTTTAGCTAATTCAGTAATTTTTTGACTTTTTAGCTAAAAATGAAGGTTCCCAAACGAGGCCTGAGTCTCACACCATGTGAAATATTTAGTAGAACTTTTAGTAAATTTTTTGAAATCTCTAATATTTTTGTGTTGGAATAGATTTGATGGGACATGTAAAAGATGATGGGCACGACACGTGGATAGGTCACACTTCCAAATCAATTTGAACAATTTTTGGGTGCAGATAGAGTATCATGTTGGTAGGAATGTAAAAATGACCCGCGACCTATGGACGGTCCTAAGCCCGCTTGCGGTCCAGGGTGGTCGCGGCCTATTTGGGCCTAAGCCCAGCCCGAAACCCTAGGCCCTTATTTTGAAGCTTAGCCAGGCCTATCGGCCCGCTTAAGGCCCACTTGAGGCTTGGCCCTCCCGAGGCCTAATGTCTTTTTAAGTGAAAAATAATAAAATTTTGGTAGAAAAAATAAAAAACAAAAAACTTTGTTCAGGCCCACTCAAGACCTGAATACCCACTGGGTTGAGCCTGTGCCTAATTTTCTGGCTCGTGAGCCGGCCTAGCCCGATCCGAATTTTGGCAGAGCTTGCGAGGACCGACATGAGCCGGGCTGGGCTAAATTTACACCCCTACACCCATATATGATATTCATAGCCTATCACAACTTAACAACACATCTTTTCAATAAAAATTTACCACATAAGACAAATATTAATAAACCATTACAACGATGAAATAAAACTCTATTAACTTTTTCTCTCTCTTCATTGATCTTTTATCTCTCTTCAGTAATCATGAGCATATTTTTATTTTTGATGGTGATATATTCATCAATTAATGTATTAATTAGTGTATTAATATTATATTAAAAATATTTTAAATTATGGTACATCATCAATTAATACACTAATTAGTACACTAATTGATACATATAGTATTATTTTTTTGTCTTACTCTACTTTTAAGAATTTTATTTTTTTATTCTTTTTAGTATGACTCTCCCTTTATCAATAATAATAATAATAATAGTAATAGTAATAAATTAAACCACCATTCAATATTTCAACTATATATAAAAATGAAGTCACATAATTTTTTGTTGATAGAACGATCCCATAAATTGAATTTTTTTTAGAATGTCAAATAATCTAAAGCATATTATTAAAAATCAAAACATATTATTTTGTTCAATTTGGCAAACCAATAACTCAAAAAAAATATGATTAATATAATTAGAATTCTCCAAATAATCTAAATCCCAAATAATCTAAACATATTGGATCTATTTAGTTTGGTTTTCAAAATTTATAATTTTAATCTTTTTTTGAACTAAAATAAAATCTGAAAATCTAATGTATGTACTTTTTTTAAACTAGCATTGTATGAAATTCTCTAAATAATATTTTTATTATTATCATTTTTTTCCACAAAAAAAAAAATGAATAGTATATAATTGTCTTTTGTATTATGTTAAGTGTTTTAAAAGTGTTCAAAGAAAATAATTACTAAAATTTGTTACAAAGAAGATAAAGAAACGAAAAACACTCAAGAAAGAAAAAACATTGAAAACACAGATTTCATTAAAATTCAAATTAAGCCATAGAAAATGTTACAAAAGCCAAATTAACCTTATAAGATCGTCATTAAAATTCAAATTAAGCCATGAAAAATGTTACAAAAGCCAAATTAACCGTACAAGATCATCATCGAATAAACAATACAAAAACATAAATTAAAACACAAACTAAAATTAGTCTATAGACAAACCAAAAGTTCATGAATGTCACAAACATCAAGCTTAAAAGAAACCAAAACTATATTGTTCTTCAGAAAACAAACATAGAATTTATTCCAGTTGCATGGTTAAAGAGAGAAACCATAGTCTTCTTCAATATCTTCACTCAAGTTACACATATTAGGAGAACTTTGACTTCTTGTAGCACTAAGAATGTAAATAATACAATTAGATTAGTTATTATATTTGAAAATCAAATATATTGTAATGAGCTAAATATTAAAATATAACGTGACATGGAGAAGCTAGATTGTAGCATAGTAGTAAAAGGCATATTCAAGTATCCAAGCATCTACATTTTCATTAAAGAGGTAATATACTTTAAATAATATATACTAATTAAACAAAATGAAATTAAGTTGTTTTTTTTTTTTTTTTTACATGATGAATATACCTCTAGGACAATTAGAACATTTGTTGTTGGCACCAAAAACCTTGAAGGTCTTACTGCACATGACTGCATTGCAGTATCTAATAATAAATAAATAAACATGTGTGATTATCATTGTTTGTACAAAAAAAATAAATTTTATATCTTCAAAAATATAATTTTATTTACCTGTCACAGCAGTATGTAGTGCTTGAGATTTACTTGTACTCACCTTCTCAACATTCTTTTTTTCCTCTCCAAAACCCTCTTGATCAGTGAAAATAGTTTTTGGTGCCTTATAGTCCATACACTCAAGAAAAACATCAAACAACCAAACAAATGATGCAATTGTCTCATCACACAAAAATGTACAATCAAATAGCACATTTTTACAATGATGATTTACCCCTACAAATGGAGCACAAATCATGTTATATTTGTTTGTCCGGTAGGTGGTATCAAACATTACAACATCTCCAAAACACTAATAGTCCAATTTGGAAATTCCATCTCTCAAAAAAACAAATCATTCATTCGATTTTCGTCATCAACTTGCACTGCATAAAAGAACATTAGATTCTCTATTTGCTTATGCTTAAAATGATTTATTACACTCTAACCATCACCAGCTTCAATTCTTTTTGACTGCTCAACTTGAATATAGTTAGGACAATCACGCTTAGTGAATCCAATACTTTGATAACCACCTGCTTCATTTAACAAATATCCATATGTTTTGGACACCCATATACCAGCATCAACCATGGATTTAATAACACCTTTACTAGTGTCATGTATTTTACATGCAGACCTTATCGAGTGTCTTTGACTTGATTCAATTAAGGGGTGATTGTGCTCAATGATTAACCGTCTGATTTCATAAATGCTATTTTCCACTTTAAAAATAACCTGAGTCTGACAACCACATCTAGTGTCTAGCTTATCATACTTCTTCTCTGGGCTAAGGTCACTAAATTCTCTAAACTCTTCTCTTGAGCAAACAAAACTACGACGAATCAGTTGAGTTGTCCCTCTTTTGTATGTTTTTTCATCCCTTCGAATACAAAAGCCTTTGTGATATGCATATTCATTGTACATGTTATAAGCTTCATCTTCACTATTTGCAATCATTTCAATTTTTAACTCAACAACGCTATCATCCTGGGCATTTAAAAAATTATTTGGAGCATTTGTATCTACAAATGAATTACAAAAAAAATATTAAGATATGTATATCAAATTTATACATAAAATATTTAAAGCAAAAAATTGATATCTATCTATCTATCTATCTATATCTATATCTATACTATATATTAAGCAAAAGGGGGTTTTTAACCCCAAGCCTTGTGGGAGCTCCAATCTTCCAATCTAAATTTCCTGTTTTTTTTATTTAAAAAAATAAAAACTTAGCATTTATTAATTTCTCTCAACCCCCAAGTCTTACCCTCATGATAACACTTTAATGCATTAAGAACAAGCATTAAAAAAATTCTTTGAAATCCAACACATATGAATTCCTTGAAAAGTCCCAACACATATGATTATTATCCCTCATAATAACATTTTAATGCATTAAGAACAAACATAAAAAAAATTTCTTGAAAAGTCTAACACATATGATTATTATCAAAATATTAAACTTTAATATAATATAATAAAAAAAAATACATTTAATTCCTTGAAAAGTCTAACACATATGATTATTATCAAAATATTAAACTTTAATATAATATAAAAAAGGAAAAAAAGATGGCATTTAAAAAAAAAAGACATTTAAAAATCACAATTCACATATACAGATAATTGTAAACACAAAAATGCAACTCTCTCTCTTTTTTTCTTTTTCTTTTTTTCATTTATCAAATGGTCGTTTCTGTTAAAATATTTTTTTACTTTCCCTCTTGTCACCTAAATCAGCCAAAATCAAACATACAATTCTTATTTGATTAAATAGCCAATGTATATATATATATATATATAGGGTCCAGCTTGTCTCAAGTTGAGATCAAGACTGGACCCATCCAGTTCGACCTATGGGGTCCATTTTTTGGGTCCGTTTTGATAATCCGAACAGTCAATGTGTAGAACTCGTCGAGTACTACATGATTACAAAAAATCACATTGATCGGATATCAATAGCTATGTGATCAAATCAATTTTGTATAATAAAAAAATAAACGGTGAAAAAATTAACGGTTGATAAAAAACTGTTTTGTTCACATAGCTATCGATATCCGATCAACGTGATTTTCAATAGGCATATAGTAGTCGACGAGTTCTACACATTGAATGGTTCGGATTATCAAAACGAGACCCGAAGTGGGCCTCCACGGGTCCAACAGCACGGTCCAGTCCGATCTTGGACTGGACCAAAGCCACTGCCATATATATATCTATCTTTCTATACCACTGACATATATATATATATATATATATATATATATCTATCTTTCTATACTATATATTAAGTAAAATGGGGTTTTTAACCCCCAAGACTTGTGGAAGCTTTAATATCTCAATCTAAATTTTCTAAATTTTTTATTTAAGAAAAAAAAAATTCCGCATTTATTGATATGATCAAAATCTCATCTATCTATACTTCTATACTATTTATTAAGCAAAAGGGGGTTTTAGCCCCAAGTTTTGTGGGAGCTCCAATCTCCCAATCTAAATTTCTTGATTTTTTGATTAAAAAAAAAATCTTAGCATTTATTAACTTCTTTCAACTCCCAAGTCTTACGCTCATAATAACACTTTAATGCATTAAAAACAAGCATAAAAAAAATTCTTTGAAATCCAACACATATGAATTCTTTGAAAATTCCCAACACATATGATTATTATCCCTCATAATAACACTTTAATACATTAAGAACAGGCATAAAAAAATTTTTGAAAAGTCCAACACATATGATTATTACCAAAATATTAAACTTTAACATAATATAATAAAAAAAACACATTTAATTCCTTGAAAAGTCTAACACATATGATTATTATCAAAATATTAAACTTTAATATAATATAAAAAAGGAAAAAAAGAAGGCATTTAAAAAAAAAATATTTAAAAATCACAATTCACATATATAGATAATTGTAAACACAAAAATGCAACCCTCTCTCTTCTTCTTTTTTTCTTCTTTTTTTCATTTATCAAATGACCTTTTCTGTTAAAATATTTTTTTTACTTTCCCCCTTGTCACCTAAATCAGCCAAAATCAAACAAACAATTCTTATTTGATTAAATAGCCAATATATATATATATATATCTTTCTATACTATATATTAAGCAAAATGGGGTTTTTAACCCCCAAGACCTGTGGGAGCTTGAATATCTCAATCTAAATTTTCTAAATTTTTTAATTAAAAAAAAAACTTCGCATTTATTGATTTGATCAAAATCTCATGATTAGCATTTATTAACTTTTTTCAATCCACATGTCTTTTCACATGCCTGCATTTATTGATTTGGTCAAAATCTCCAGATTAGCATTTAAAATCTCCTCATACATATAATTATAGATATAATCCGTGTATAGTTACTGCAGTAATATTTTCAACTTCTCCCACATAATATGGTTAGTGATAAGATTATTAAATTATTTTTATAAAAAATCTTAAAAAGCATAATTTATATATTAAAAAAAATCTAAAACAAATATAAATATCTATAATTATCCCGTGCATAGCACTGGTGATAGGCTAGTTATATATTAAGCAAAAGGGGGTTTTTAACCCCAAGGCCTGTGGGAGCTTCAATATGTCAATCCTAATTTTCTAATTTTTTGTTGTTTTTTTTAAAAAAAATTAACCTCAGCATTTATTAACTTCTCTCAACCCACAAGACTTTTTGATTTCTCTCATAATTACTGCAGTACCTTTTCCAAAACAAATCATTTGTATATTAAAAAAAAATTAAAACAAATATAAATATCTATATCTATATCTATCTATTTATTTATATCTATCTTTAACCCACAAGTTTTGTGGAAGTTCCAATATCTGAACCTTAATTTCTTTATTTTTTTGATTTTTTTTTTCTCCAACACACACACTCTTTTTAACTTTTTACATACCTATTGCAAACAGTGAGTCTTCTTTTTATTTTTTCCTTCTTGACTTCTCCCTTCTACACTTTTAACTTCAGTGGCCACGTATGCAAAAAAATAAGTCTTCTTTTTGTTTTCTCCTTCTTGACTTTTCCTTTTGTTTACTGTTTTAATATTGTAGTTAGATAGCGCATAAAAATATTTGTGATTTGTCTAGTGAATAAAAAATTATAATTTGATTTTTTAATATGATTGAAGTTAGATAAGTATAAACCTTCACAAAAAGAAAAATGTGATTATAATTAGTTGAATGATTCTTTTTTTTAATGTGATTGTAGTTAGTTTAATAGTTCTTTTTTTTCATTTATTTATTTTATTATGTGAAAAATGTGATGTGATTGTAATTTGTTCAATGGCTCTTTTTTTTAATAAGATTGTTGTAGTTAGTTCAATGATTTTTTTTAATGTTATTTAATCTTTTTATTTACTATTTTAATTTTATTTTTGATTTTTTAATATGATTGAAGTTAGATAAATATAAACCCTCACAAAGAGAAAAATGTGATTATAATTAGTTGAATGATTCTTTTTTTTTAATGTAATTGTAGTTAGTTTAATAGTTTTTTTTTCATTTATTTATTTTATTATGGAAAAAATGTGATGTGATTGCAGTTTGTTCCATGTCTCTTTTTTTTAATATGATGGTTGTAATTAGTTCAATGATTTTTTTTTAATGTTATTTAATCTTTTTATTTACTATTTTAATTTTATTTTTAATATGATTGAAGTTAGATAAACATAAACACTCACAAAGAAAAAAATGTGATTGTAGTTAGTCAATGGTTCTTTTTTTTCATTTATTTATTTTTTTTATTATGGAAAAAATGTGATGTGATTGTAGTTTGTTCAATGGTTCTTTTTTTTAATGTGATTTAATCTTTTATTTACTATTTTAATGGTTTTTTTTTACAATCTATCTATCTATCTATATCTATATCTATATCTATATCTATACTTCAATACTATATATTAAGCAAAATGGGGTTTTTAACCCCCAAGGCTTGTGGGAGTTTCAATATCCCAATCTGAATTTTCTAAATTTTTTATTTTTTATTTTAAAAAAAAAACTCAGTATTTATTGATTTGGTCAAAATCTCCTGATCAGCATTTATTAAATGTTTTCAATCCACATGTCTTTCCACATGCCTACATTTATTGATTTTGTCAAAATTCACTAATTAGCATTTAAAATCCCCTCATACAAATAATTATAGATACAATCCGTGTATAGTTACTGCAGTACCCTTTTCAACTTCTCCCATACACTATGGTTAGTGATAAGATTGTTAAATTATTTTTATAAAAAAATTTTAAAAAACATAATTTATATATTAAAAAAAATCTAAAATAAATATAAATATCTATAATTATCCCGTGCATAGCACGGGTGATAGGCTAGTATTATATAAGGAAAATGGGGTTTTTAACTCACAAGCCTTGTGGGAGCTCCAATGTCTCAATCTTAATATCCTAATTTTTTGATTTAAAAAAAAATAAAAACTCAGCATTTATTGACTTCTCTCAAACTTTTTTGACTTCTCATACACACCATTTCAACTTCTCTCATACCTATTTAATTATTTTGGAAATAATAATTATTTTCCCTTTTCAACTTCTCTCATACTTATTTAATTATTTTGGAAATAACAATTATTTTGGAAATAACAATTATTTTCCATTTTCAACTTCTCCTATACCTATTTAATTATTTTGGGAATAATAATTATCCCTTAATTTACGGATTTCAAATGAAAAGATAACAAAAATATTTCATAATCTCTTCATTCTAATTTCTCTCATCGATTTCCAAAAGAAAATATTAAAACTTGACTTCCTTCTCTCTCCCTCAAAAAATCAAATAATATTGTAACAAACCCCATCGCGTAATACTTTATATTTAATTAATGACAGAGATTTGAATTTTATGGCCTACTATTCTGATTTAATTTGGGAACTATGAAAATTATGGAGACTGATTTGTATACGATTTTATGGGAGATTTATTTTGGAATTAGAAC